GAAGGAGTGCTCGCTCGAGCGAAGGCTACGTCTGTGTAAAAACCTAAAAGAGATGAATGTACGCTTGAGCGAAGGGTGCATGGCTCGAGCGAAGCCACTTATGGAAAACACGCGTTTTTGGTTCCTCACTCAAGCGAGAGAGTTGTCACTCGAGCGAGCTTCGCGATTCAGATTTCTATAAGTACGGGTTTCTGTCAGATTTTAGAATTACTTCTCTAGATCTTCTTTTTGGATATTAAGGTTTATCTCTGGAGATATTTTGCTAGTTTTCTTTGATGTTTTGATTGAGTATTCTACTTATGGTTTTAGAAGTTTACATCAAAGGATTGTTTGTTTAATTTTATACAAAAGAGAGAGTTGTTCTTAGTTCAACTCTATTATATGCAAGTATAATTCAACTCTGTCATATAATAAGTCTAAGTTACTCGTCATGTTTCATTCAGAAACATCACCAACTTAGTTCAACTCTATTATATGAAAGTATAATTCAACTCTGCTATATAATAAGTATAAACTATTTGTCATGTTTCATTCAGAAACATCGTCATAGGACTGGTCGGTCCTATCGTACAGATTTCAAATTCACAAAAATCAAACTAGCACTTTATTATTACTTCAGCCGATATGCCCCATTGCCGGTAACCGAAATGATTCTATTTGAGCCAAGTTTGGCCTCCCTATGATCCTTCTTATTGCCGACAATCTTTCTCAGGATGAGGTCCTTAACCTTGAACTCTCTTGCGCTGACCTTCTTGTTGTAAGCCCTAGCAAGTTGTTGCTAGTATGCCCCCAGCCGAATTGTTGTTCTCTCGTACGTTGCAGGTGGATTGCAACAATATTTTTACACTTTTTTACATAAGCTTTAGCTTTCTTTTGCATGTAAGGCCAAAAGAATCCCTGCGATATTGCTCTATGGGCAAAAGATCTGCCCCCTGCATAGCTTCCACATACTCCTTTGTGGACCTTATATAAAAAGTCTTTAACTTGGCCGACTTCAGTCTGAACTTGTGTGCTTCCTTTTTATCTTCAAGGATCTGAGATCTGCTTACTTAGGCTGAGCTCTTCTCTTCTCGGACTTAATCATCTAGGCCAAGATCTTGTCTTTTGGAATCTTGGATCTGCTCACCCAGGCTGAGTCTTTCTCTTCTCGGACCTACTCATCTAGGATGAGATCGTGTCTTCTGGAATCTTGGATCTGCTCAGTCAGACTGAGCTCTCGTCTTCTCCCATCTAATCACCTAGGCCGAGATCTTGTCTTCTGGAATCTTGGATCTGCTCACTCAGGCTGAGCTCTTCTTTTCTCAGACCTAATCATCTAAGTCGAGATCTTGTCTGCTAGGATTTGGGATCCGGGATCTAGAATCGGGGATCTGCTCACTTGGGCTGAGCTCTTGTCTTCTCGGACCTAATCATCTAGGCCGAGATAATGTCTTCTAAGATCTGGGATCCGGGATCTGGAATCCGAGATCTGAGCTCTTTTCTTCTCGGACCTAATCACCTAGGCCGAGATAATGTCTTCTAAGATCTGGGATCCGGGATCTGGAATCCAGGATCTGCTCACTCAGGCTGAGCTCTTGTCTTCTCAGACTTAATCATCTAGGATGAGATAATGTCTTCTAGGATTTGGGATTCGAGATATGGAATCTGAGATCTGCTCACTTTGGTTGAGCTCTTGTCTCCTCGGACCTAATCATCTAGGCCGAGATCTTCTCTTCTGGGCACCAGTTTTGGTTGTTGGTGCTGACATGTCTTGTAATGGGAATGTTCGGTTGCATCACGTTGTTCTGCATCATGAGGTTGACCACTGTCTTTAGATCTGTCAACATATTTTCCATGTTTTTCAGTTTCCTCGTCTTTTCTCTGGCATCTGTCCCTCCGTACCTTAAGGTCCCTTTCACAGTAGTACTCATCTTAGCTACTCTTCTTGTTCCCTTCCCGACCTTTGGCGACATTATTCGCCTCAGAATTCACTTCTTGCACTTTTTCGTTATGGTCCATTCTTTTAGTGTTAGGATCTACATGCTCCTCTTTCTTACTGTGGATGTCGTCTCCAATCCTCGCTTCCTGTTCGTTGTTGGCCATCTATCCTTACTAAGTTCCCACAGATGGCGCCAAATTGTGGGTGTTGATTTCCGACCACACAATCAAAGGGGAAACTCAGCTGGAGAGCACCGGCAGAATAGATTAAATCCGAACAACCTGTTACAGAAAGATAAGAATTCGGCGGTGATTTGTTCATCCGGGGGCACTCCGACGCTCAAGTTAGTAATCAAATATCTCTAAAAAATAACCAATAGTGCTTAACTCACTAGACAGAACATAAAAAACATACCTTAGACCCATGGGGTGCCTCACTTTTATAGTGGTCAGTGTCCAACTTCCCTTAGAAGTCTTACTTCAAGGGACTCTATCCTTTACAAGGATAACATCTATCACAACTCATACTATTCACATTAAGATGAACTTTCTTAAGAATCACATCTCTATCCAAACAAGTAGTTTGATGTCATCTAGGACTCTAATCCTCTATCCAAATATCTCAAATTCTGGCATTATTGCACCATATCTCGGCATCATGGTCCGCCCACATGGTACCTCAGCTAATAACCTTAGTCACGTGGACTATCCAAAAATATGTCCTCACAAAGTGCTATTGAAAATTTTGCAATTCTTTGAAGGAAATGAGTAAAGAATCAAGTAACAAGTATATTGATCCATATAAAACGTACTAGTTTTTGTGTTTCAAATTTGATACACATATTTTTTGATCAATTTATATAAGCATTGATCTGAATTTTTAATTTTTTTAAAGAGTAAAGAAATAGGCATACAAAATTTGACATACCAAATAAATTCCTCTTTCACGTGAATCACTTTACATAAAAATAAAAAATAAAAATCATTTAACATGTAGAATTTGTCCCCCCCAAAAAAAGTTTTATCCTACCATTTTTTGATATTTTCAATAGAGAGTTTTCCTATTCAAGTGATTTAAAATTTGAAAATTTCTGTTTAAAAAGAAATTTTGTATAAATCAAAAAAAAGAAAAAGAAAATTTGAAATTTTAACCCCTATAGCCTAGGTGGTCCATGGGGTATATGGTAATCTCCATAACTGGCGTTAAGCTTTGGGTCCCATTAAACTCTAATTTCTACCATTCTAATTCATGATAAATCTCTTATTTTACAATAATGTTAGGTATTACAGAAATTTTTTATGAAAATTCTCAATTCTTAGGTTAGTTTATAATGTTTTATTATATATTAAGGAATTATTTTTAAATTAATTTCATGATATTTAATTTATGATGTCTAATATTACTTTTTATTTTATATAAAGAGTTTGATATGCAGCGGAGTTAACATAGTGTATTTATTTATTAGATAAATTAAATTGATCTTTCATAAAGTTTCAAAAAAATAAAATTAATTTTATGATTTTAATATAATTTTTTTAATATGATTAAAATGATTGAAACTAATATAAAAAATATAAAAAAAATAAAAAATATATACATTTCAGTATAAAAGTAATAAAAATATATTTTTTTATTCATATAATTAAAAAAATTATTAATAAAAATAAGATTAAGGCCTATTTTGAACTCAAAATTTTACTAAAAAATTAAAAAATTACAACAAAAAAGTCAACTCTTATCTTCTTTTATTTTTTTCATGTCTTTTTATAAAAATTAAAAAATTATTAAAAAAATCAATTCTCAAAACAACTTATGTATTATTATGTGAATTAAAATATAAAATAAACTCAATATAATAACTATTATATTTTTTATAAACTCAAGAAAAATGAATGTAAATTACCCATATAAAATATAAAATTTGTAGATTATGAGTATTCCATCGTATCAAATTCAAGTCTTATCACATCAAAAAAAAGTTTCAAATTAATCTTATTACATCAAAAAAAGTTTCAAATTAATTATTAAATATTTTTATGTATCAAATCCACATAAATCTCATGTTTATGTATTCAATATTAATCTCATCTCAATTATACAAAATATTTGGTCTCAATCTGCATCCAGCTTGAAAACACTCACCGCCTTAGGCCCCCGTTTATCAAGTATTTTTTTTTATTATTATTTTTTATTTTTAGAGTTAAGATAGTCAAATAAAGACAAAATAAGTTAGAGGTCTCATTTGGTAAGAGTTTAAAAGTTAATTTTTTAATTTTTCATCTTTTTTTTAATCATATCACTTATTTATTTTTTTATACTTTTTTTTTATAAAAAAAATTTAAAAAATTATAAAATTAGCTTAACCTGCTTCACAAAACCATCCAAAATAATCAGCAATACGAGATATTTCATTTAATTTATAATTATGTTATTTTTTCTTTCAATAATGTTTGGAAGTTCTAATAGAGTTCTAATGGTGAGTTTCACATGATGATATTTGGCTTTTTTTCTTTACTTTTTTTTTTTTGACGCAATTCTAGTATTAGAGCTCTCTATCACTACTCTTTTTTTTTCGGTGGTGCTACATGTATCTATTAGTGTACACATTAGTGTACTAACTAGTGTTATGTCATTATTATTGACCTCAGTTATTATACAAATTACAAATACCTAAAATTTTTAAAATTATGTCACATCATCTGTTAGTACACTAGTTAGTACGTTAATTAATACATATAGCATTATTTATTTTTCTTTTACAATCATCAAATCAGGTATAAAAAAAAAAAATTAACTATCTTCCTAAACATAACTATTTTAGTCAGCCTAAAGCTTCATTTAGGAACAAATTATTTTAATAATTTTTTAAATTTTTATAAAAAAATATGTAAAAAAATAAAAAAAAATAATGTGATAACATATAATAATTTTTAAAATTTTTAACTACGATATATAACAAACAAGACCTAAAATAATAATAATAATAAAAAAAACTAAATAATCAATTAAAATAGTTAACTTGCCAAACAAAGCGTTAGCCTCCTCCCGCATAATCTCTATAAATAATGGCTTAAGGGTACCTTCCTTAGGCTTGAAGAGAGAGGCTAATCCAAAGCATCTTCAACTCTCTTCCTCGTCTCTCTCTCCTTTCCTCTGAAGTAGTCTCTCTCTTCTTCGTTTTTCTCATAAATCTAAAACACGTGGACTCCATTTCTCTTGAATCATGGTCGGACCTTCTCTCAACACTCAACAAAACCTCACCCTCAAACCCAACGCCGCCGCCAACATCAAGTTCCTCTGCAGTTACGGCGGCAAGATCCTCCCCCGTTATCCTGACGGCAAGCTCCGTTACCACGGTGGCGAAACACGTGTCCTCGCCGTTGACCGCTCCAACTCCTTTGCCGGTTGGTTCATTTGTCCTTTTGTGTCATATATATATATATATATACATATATTGTTATTTAGATTTAAAATTTAGATTTAAGACAAAAAAAATATGTTAAAAAATTAAAAAAATGATGTGATAATTTATAATAATTTTTTTATTAAAATATATAATTGACAAACGAGATCTTAATCTCACGATGTATCAAGAAATTTTTTTTATATCTTTTTGATACATCACTAAATTTAGAAAATGGATTAAGAAGTAGATTTTTATATTATTTTTTTATATATATATATATATGCAAATTATATTTTTTATTTTTTTTATTTTTACTCAAATTTTATTTTTATTTTATATTTTAATTACAACAATTAAGGTCAAGTTTGTCAAATTGAAAAAAAGTCAAAAAATTAAAAAATTACTTAAAAAGTTAAAAAATTATCACTATTCACCAAAAATAAAAAATTACGGCCGCACAACTCACTATCCTAATTTTTCCTTACACACTAATTTATACAATTTTTTAATACACATTTTTTTTAGGGCAAATTACATATACACCCCTCAAGGTTTGGCTAAATTACAGATGCCCCTGAGGTTTGAGAAATTACGAATTCTCCCCTGAATGCTATATTTGCATAAGAAATTAGGGGGTAATTTGTTATGAAATATAAACCTCAGGGGGCAAATTAAGTCAAAAAATTAAAAAATTATTTAAAAAGTTAAAAAATTATCACTATTTACCAAAAATAAAAAATTACGGCCGCACAACTTACCATCCTAATTTTTCCTTGCACACTAATTTATACAATTTTTTAATACACATTTTTTTATAAAAAATCAAAAAGTTAACCCAAACAATCATATTTTTTTCTTTAATTTTTTAGTTCAAAAAGTAAAAAAATACACTTATTTAGGACATTCCAAACGATCCCTAAGATTCATTTTAAATATTTTTTATTTAAAATGAATTATTTTTAATTTATGTCTAATTTAAAATATTTGAATAAAAGAATTTACAAAATTAACTTTTTAACTTGTTTTTCTTATGTTTTTATTTAGTTTTCAGGTTGATAATAGGATCGAAAAGAAAAGATTTTTGTAAATTTTTTTAAAAAAAATCTTTATAAACAAAACAAAAAAAAATTAAAAAAGTTTGCCACATACTAAAAATTTGGACGGAAAATTCTAATATAAGTATTTTTTAAGGACAATTGAATTATTATTATTATTATTTATTACAAATGACACTTTTCTTATCATTTAATTTTTACTTATGTGATGTTAGGCACTCATATCAGTTTTAACAAAAATAATTTTAAGTAAAAATTGAGTAATACTACTATAAAAAAAATTCATACATGATTTTTATACATAATAATGTAATTTATGAATAATTCATTTCAAAACAAAATAGTATTAAAAATATATTTATTTATAATAATAGTATTGTTACAACTTGTAAAGTTTTTATTTATATATATATATATATTTTATAATGAATTTTATGTATGAATCATTTTGTTTTTAAATTAAAGCATAAAAAATATAATTTATGATAAATATTTTTTTATGGAGGATGTGGAGAGTGAGATGGTTTGTGGTGTGGTGAATTTACAGAGCTAATGGTGAAGATGGGAGAGTTATGCGGTGGTACGTCGGTGAGTCTGCGGTGTCAGCTTCCGACTGAAGATCTTGATGCTTTGGTATCGATCACCTCCGATGAAGATCTCTCCAATCTCATCGAAGAATACGATCGAGCCTCCTCACCACCTCTCAAGATCAGAGCCTTTCTCTCGCTGCCCAAATCCGCCAAAAAACTCTCTCCTCCTCCTTCCTCCGCCGCCGCTGGTTCGTCTTCTAGATTTCCGATCGCCGCCGCGAATCGGTGCATCCACCAGATATGGAAGCCGGTACTGTATCCCTTGTGCTATGAGAAATCTAAATCTGCATCTGCAGCTGGAAAGATTCATCATCCTCACTATGCTTATCATCTTCATCATGGAAACCATTGGCAATAGCTCCGCTAGGTTTTGGTGCAGTACTTGGACTAAATTTTATTGAACAATATATATATAAATATATATATAGGCAACTATATTCAACATTAAAAAAAAAAAAGAACAAAAAGAACAAAAAAAGATCGAGATGATTTGTGTAAGATTCGAAATGGACTGTAAATTTGGCTTCTTTTTTTTCTCTTTTTTTTTTTTGAAATTTTGATCCATGGCGTGAAATTAATGAAATTAATCAGTCCAGTACTCAGATTTGGACCATTCGATGTTCTTTGTCTTTTGGACGCCATTTTTTTTTTTTTAGATGTTTCCTTTTGGACGCCATTGTTGCAGAGCATTTTCTCTCTTTCTCTCTCTTCTCAATTCTCCGTTACCGTTCCATTAATTAATCGCCGTTACTCTTTCGGTGTCGTGACGGAACATAATTACTCTGTTTTTGTCAGATTCTACGTATTGCGTGCCACCGTTATCTGTGCACTCCGTTACTTTTATCGTTTGTTGAAACCACCATTGCCTACGTGTACAAGCATCATTCATTTTCATGTCTTTTTTTATTTTTTTGGATTCATTCATTTTCATGTGCTGTCACCATTTTATTTTATTTTTGTCTGTTATGCTTTAATTGTGTACATGTATTTTATGTTGATGCATATAGTTTTCTAATTATGTTTTTTTAAAAAAAAATTTTTTTATGCCATTTTATTTACAGGTAAGGGAAGAGATTCCAAGTTTCTTCTCAAGATGGAACCAAGTAATGGGTGTTGGGCATCTCAGGATGACTACTAGCATTTTGTAAGTTATTATGAGAACCTTTTTTTTGTTTGTTTTTTTTTTTAATCCTTGTTTCATGTTGTTCTTCTCTGTTTTTGCATAGGATCATTAATTTGGTTTTGGTAGATTCCTTTTAGCTAACTATTTCAACTTTTGAAACTGAAAATAGAATGAGTTTAATTTGAGTTTTTTGAATTAAGTTTTTTGGAAATTGAATTTTTTAATTTTCGTGTTTTTTTTAGTGAATATTTTAAAATTTTTAAACATTTTTTTTTATTTTTTTAGATGCACATTACTTAGATGTATCTAAAAAGTAAACAATTTATGAAAAAGTATTTTAAAAATTAATAAATATATAAAAATATAAAAAAATGTACTGAATTCTCTTATTTTTTTTTTGTATTTTTGATATTTAGTGAATTTTTAAAAAGTTTTTTTCATAAATTTTTTATTTTTTAGATATATTTATGTTAGGTATGTCTAAAAAGTAAAAAAAAAAAAAAAATTGTTTAAAATATTAAAAAAATTCAGTAAAAATAAAAAAAATACGAAAAGCAAGAAATTATTTTTTGAAAAGTGTTTTTTAAAAAACCATGATGGTAGGTTGTCCCTTATTTGTCTTACAATTATTTAATGTAATGTCCATATTATTTTGGAATTATAGTATATTTATATAGAATTTTTTATTAGTTTTATGAATAGATTTCCTTTTAATGGCACAATGTTTTAATTTATTTATTTATTTTTTTTAAAAATGTACATAATTTTTTTACAAAAATGATGTGGTAGACGTATCACTACTATTTAAAATAATAATATTTAATATAATCACATTATTCTTTATACATATCTATTTGGTTGAAGGATTTGAGAAGGGATTTGAGAAGAGAAATGGAAAAGGTAGGTGAAAGATGAATAAAACATACCCTATATTTCATTTAGTTTCACATATTTTTTTTCTTTTTTTTTTCAAATTCCTCTCCAAATTTCCTAACCAAACACAGCGTTAGTATTATAATTTTTTCTTATATACAAAATGGTGTAGGTAAGTTGTGATCCTATCAACCCGTATCGTAATTCAAATGGTCATAAGCGACAATTACTTAGGTGTCACTAAGATGAGATTTTTGTTTCGAGTCAATGCCGTGAAAAACTTCAATATAACTTTCAATTATAAAAATTGACGAAGATATTTGTATAAAAATTAGTCATTGAGTTGATTTATTCATTTTTGCCTAGGACTGATTATTGTTTTTGAACAGTGAGTGATGGCAACAAGTCTTCTCAAGGCAAATAGTGATATGGGGCTGAAAGCAATATAAGATTGGAGTTACTGTTCGACTTTGCTTTCTCTGATGGGAAAAGTATATACCTTTCAGGTGTCAGGACCATATGCGCTTTCGATTGAAGTTTTTTCCTTTGACAAAGCGATGGGAACACACTACTAAGGCATTGATTTCATGCAATGGATTGACATCAGAGATGGCAACATCATGGATCCCACTGCGATATTCTATTGCCTAAGACAGGCGTTGTAGGTTATTAGTCAATTTCTGCAACTACGAGCCTACTATGATGGTGTGTATACCAGAAAGGAATGAAAAGGCGGTGCCGTGGAGTATATGCGAAGAACAGTGCATCTGAATTGGAGGAAATGGGCTTTGGACAGTTTGAAGAGAAGGCAAGGGCTGAATGAAAGAAAGGACCAAGACAGTGGCAACTGTTTTACTACCACATGCCTCGACTGCTCTGGAGGATATTGGCTTACCAGAAATGTTTGGGAGCACTAATTTGGCACAATTTATTTATCTCTAATGACGTGAAATAGATTATGTGAAGGAGTGAGCCCGCACTTCTCTCTATCGCTCTCAATTCTCTCTTCCACCTTATTAAGGGTAGATTAGGAGTGTTATATTGGTGAACTGTTGTATGATTGATTGGCTTACCGGGTGTGAATTTGGATTTGAGTCTTATCTGTTAGGTGATATTGTATTTATTTTTTATTTTTTTTAAGGATTGTAAATAAATAAATTAATTAAGAGTCTTAAGGATTCACAAAAGCTGACACTATTACATTTATTGGATTTATATAACGTGGGTGTTTGGGAAGTTGTTATTTTAGTAGATTATTTTAATTTTTAGCTATTTTAGAAGGTTAAAATTTTTGTATTTGGAAAGATCGTTGGATTTTTTGTACTTAGATGTGATATTTGTGAGAGAAAAAATGTAATGATTATCGGTTTGATGTGATATTTTATCTTATTAATTATTTTAGTTTATGTTGTCTTTTAGTGTTATTTTAACCAAAAAAATCAAAAAAAAAATTTCCCAAACACCCGATATGGTGAAATAAAATGTGGTGTTTATTGATGGCCTGGGTCTATCGGATAAAAATAGCTCATATATAACATGTCTATTTCAAATTTAACGTGGGTTCACATGGGGCCTATTTCATCGGCAAAATCAAAAGAATAAAGTGAATTACTCAAAATTTATAGGATAATCTATCAGTCCGTCCTGCTTTATTAAGTTATTATATATTAGGTAATGTTTTATATTTTTACTTATAGCGTTTTTAATTTTTTTCGTCATGTATTGTGTCCCTGACTCGGGTCTAGTGGTTGTATCTTGTTGTCTTATTTTCGTTTTCATTCTTTAATTCTTTGTATTTGAGTTTTGAAATGTGTTGGGCACGTTTGAAACATGTTGGTTGGGTGTTGGAACAAATGGTTGCTGTCCAGATTTTGGTTTATTCGCTCGAGCGAGACTTTTGTCGCTCGAGCGAGCTTTGTATTTTAGTTCCTTCGCTCGAGCCAGGGTTCCTTTACTCGAGCGAACTTTGAGTGGTGTGTCTCTTGGTTCGAGCGAGAACTCTTGCACTCCAGCATGCGTCTGCGTCTCTTTTTGACCCAAAGGTTGTGTTTCTTCGCTCGAGCGAGAACTCCTGCGCTCAAGCGTGCTTCTGGGTTGCAGACCTGAAGCTTCGCATTGTTCACTCAAGCGACGCTTCTTGCGCTCGAGCGAGATTCTTTTATGTCAGGTCACTCGAGCGATCACTCCTTCGCTCGAACGACCCTCGAGTATATCAGTTGGCAGCAGCGGGTTATACATCACTTTTTCATCATCTTTTTCATCCAAACCCTAGATCTGGCTGCTTCTCTCTCTAAGCATACCTTCTCTCCACAAATACACCTTATTCTAGGAGTCCTCTACCCTAGTCTTTTTGTAAGAAAGTTAGAGCTTGGCTTGGGCTTCTCATTGATCCGAAAATTTGTAGATTTGGAGCATCTTGGGTTTCACTCTTCTTCTCCTTTGGTCTCTTAACTTTGAGGTATGAATAAACTACTCCTTATGAGTTTTAACATAAATTTTAGTCATTTGATTAAATAGTGAAGTTATGGAAATTTTGGAGAGTTAGGGTTTGATTTGAAATTTATAAAGAGGGATTTTCAATTGTTGAGCCCCATGTGTATGTGAGACCTTGGAAAATGGGGTTATTGTTGTAGGATTGATGAAATTGAACCTTGGGTTGATGTTCGAGAAAAGAGAGAAAATGCCCTAATTAAGTTTGAATAATTAATTTGTATAATTAATTTGGGAAAATATGAAAATATGAAATTGAGTTGAAAATATGAAATTGGGAATTTATGAGATTAAATGGTGCAATTGGATTGATTAATCACTCACCTATGAAAATGTTGATAATTTATCTATTTGATAAATTTATTATCTGTTTAGAAATAATTGTTTTGGGCTATCGGTGGAGGATAGTCTTGATTGTTGTAGGTACTGCATAATGATTAGGTAAACTAAAACTAATCAACTGGATTATGTCATTGAATGTGACGGTGGAATTAACACATTGAATATGTGAACTGTTGGGTCATTGTATATGACTATGTATTTAAATACATTGTATATGTATATTGTTTGGGCGGAGATAGGGGATGGACTCCATTGATGGAGTGTCCAGGGTGAAAGTCTCGAAACTTTATGTATATCTGAATGATGTTAATAATTGAAGTGTTGATTATATGAGTTGTAGTCTCATTTTGAATTGTGGATAATGGAAGTGTTAATAAGATGAGTTGTACTCTCATTTAAATTATTTGGTTAGATAATGGACTATGTCTATGAATTGAATTGGATAAATAAGGGAAGTGGATTGGAACATAAATGTACTTATTGGTGGCATTGTAAAGAATGTAAATTGGTTTATAAGTATTAACCATCCATCGAATGCTGATGTTTTAGTTCACTACTACAAAATCATGAATAGATCATACTTTTTTTGTGTGATGGATGCTATTTAATCACACTTTTTAAGTTTTGTTAAAGTGTGATCTTTAGGGGTGTGATTAAAAAGGGTCATTTTTAATTACACCTTTTAAGTGTCATTAAAAATGATTTCATCACACCTTTTAAATGTAATTAATAACATTTATATCACACCTTTTAGGTGTGATTAAAAATGATCCATCACACCTTTTAAGTGTGATTAATAACATTTAGATCACACCTTTTAGGTGTGATTAAAAATGATTTCATCACACCTTTTAAGTGTGATTAATAACTAATAAAACATGTGATAATAAATATTTAGATCATAGATTTTAAGTGTGATTAATATCTAATAAAACCTATGATTAATAATGAAATAAGATCACACTTTTGTACGCTTTCAAATGCAATACACACTATATACTATATTTTGAATCACCCACATGTTGAATGGAATAACGTCATATATTTCATAAATGAAAGTTAAATGTTCAAACGTATATACAAAAGAATTAATAAAAAGTTTTTAACTGTGATTACATATATTAAAAAATGAAAAAAAACCTAAGCTCTTGAATTCTTTGACCATATTTTGCATCTCTCTAGGAAATTTCTAACCTGAAAAATAAAAACATAAATTTATTCAGAAACCGCTAGAAGCATATGAATAAACTTGCTATTTTTGTGAAGACTGTTCTTGTCTTACAAAAGATAAAATCGAATATTTTCTCATCACACTGACTCTTCAACTCCTGTATCAATAGAAAAGGAATAACAACTTTGATTGTGACTAGTATAAAATGTCTGGATTACCATATAGATATGACATATACATAGACACTACTACAAAATCATAAATAGATCACACTTTGTTTTACATTGCCTACTTCTTAAATATTGATAATCAACAAAATTTATTATCCAATCATCACCTATAACAAGATTATGCTTAAATTTCTTTCTTTGCTCAATGGTTATCCTCTTAGCAATTCAACAAAGCTCACATCATTTCCCAAAGTCATGAATCATGAAATAGCTCTCCGTGTCAGTTTCTTATTTTCAATTGAAAAAAATTGGAAAACAAATATAGCATCTGGTAACATGCAGCATGTTTGGAGATAAGTGGCTCAACCACCAAATAACTCGGTCAAATGACATAGCATATTGCAGCCAATATATGATGTCCATTAAAAGAAAAACAAAAATGCAGGAACAAGATTTTAACCCATATAAGTCGAGTCAACCTACTTGAAGCTGCCCAGACGAAAGAAAGAAGTCTGTCAGAAAATCATGCTTATAGTATCTGCACAAATAAAGAAATAATAACAAGTTTACATAACAAGATCCCCAGATTAAAGAAACAACCCTCAAAAGAGTCAAATAGAGTGTACCCATTGTGTATAACTTATAAATAAATCACGCGCCAGTGTTCAGGCCTGTATCATTCCAAATAACTCCAACGGTGGCCTCTGTGTTTAACAAATGTATATGGAAAAAACAACTAAATCATAACCCAAAAAAGTGATATTTGTTTGCACTCCACAAATGTTAATGGATTCATCTATAGAAGTATATTCAGGCATACAAATTACTTAAAATAAGTATATATCACAAGTGATACCTACTGCCAGATATTAAATAGGACAAGATAAACAAGGTCGGTATCACCACTTTCAATTGCCTTTGTCAGAGCTGTATCCTCCTCCCCAATGCTTAGTAGTAGAGGAACCTGAGACAATGATCAAAATCTCTTACAAAATGACTAAAGCCATCATTTAGTTCGTTAGAGAGACATTTCTCCAACAAAGGATTGAAAGAATGAAAAATAATGAAATAGTGGAAAAGAAAGAAGAAAGAACCTACTTGGAAGAACGTGGTTCATGTTCAACAAGCATAGTAGCCAATTTACGTCTGCCACTCTTATCTGCATGAGCAGCAACTGCTGCATAAGACATACTTTTGCATATTTTCAGCTGGACAAAAACAACAACAAGAACAAAAAAATTATTGTCATACTTTACAATTAGATGGCATAGAATGAACAAAATCACCACACTTCCAAGCTAAATTAAACAACTACAAAAGATAACACAAACCTTATCAAGTAAACTTTTAAGAAGAGTGATATCAGGGATTGCTAAAGAAGCTATTATCTTTGCACATGCCCAATGCATTATCACCACTTCCTATACAAACCCAACCAAAGAAAATGAGCATATAAATGATGTCATAGTTTGCAGTTTGTAGACATGCCCTTAGGGGCCTCATGCCTATAGTTCGGACTCAAATGTCACGGTTCTGAATCTAGTCTCGCAAAGTGCAATGCAAGACCGATAAATCACCAAAGAGTCCAAATCTGGCAAATCATTTTGGAAAACTGATTTTTGTAAAAAAGTGTCAAACATGGACTGCTTTGCCAGATACAGAGTCGCCACCTAAATATTTTATTTTTTGAGAAAATTTAGGAAACCCTGACTCGTTGCCTAAGGCCACGTGTCTGTCATCACCAAAGTTGCCTCGGCTTCGGAACTTGGGTACGATTGGGGAAGGTCATCTATGAGCACCCTCGCTCGCCTGATCAAAGATCGGCCACTACTAAACATGATATCTAGTTTTTGGAAACACATGTGTTCTTATTCTGGTTAATTAGCTAGAATTACTATGTGATGCGCACAGCAAAACAAGTATAGACTAGATCGCCTAATTTGGAACAAAGCATCGCATATCCGTTTGTTTGGAAAATGGTTTGAAGTTTGCTACTCGTAAGTAGGCTAAAATGCAGATTTCAATGAATTGTTCCAATTCAAGTAATCCAACCTTCACTCACA